GTTCAAGTTTCTTTGAATCCCGGATGCCAATGCTATCCGTGGGGACTCCTTTATTCGTAGTTGGGCAGTTGGGTCCGCCCCCTGATTGCCTTAGGCTGTCAGACGAAGCTGTCATCCTGCACTTTTCGAGTATAATGCTCCTCATAGATCTGAAGGATCTCAGATACTAAAACTAGAAACGATGGCAAAGGTGTAAATCGGGTTTGCTCCCTCATTGACGACAAGATTACTTGTTCGATTGCGCTCCAAATGTTCTCTCGATCGTATGACTGTGGACCATGCCGACCAATGTATGCAAGTCCCCATTGGAGGTCCACAAGTACACGGTCGTCACGACAAACGATAGGAGTCGCTCAGTAGCTGCCTCTCTCAAAGCCTTCGCACCTTTCCCGTGGTTGAATCTCATCTCTCTCTACTCGATGCATCCATTGACCTAGGATATCATCTATTCTATTACTTTTGAACCGTGCTTTCTGGTCTCAAGGGCATGATGCGACCCCATCTTTGCCCATCCACGACTACGTCGCTCGGGATCAGGCCCACCACCCTTCATTATGGCACTCTATGTATGAGGGGTAATACATGGACCATGATGTTCCCACGGTCGGCTGTCGACTGCCTCGTGGATGGTCATAGGGGTGTGGAGTAGAGGGATGGTTTGCTTGCTGAACGAACAGCTTGTGCACTTTCATTGCCATATCTGACCGAGTAGTGTCTGTTTCATGATACAATGAGCGTTTTGGTCACTCGTGCTGTTCACCGGTGCAGGTATCTCCCCTGGATTGTCAAGGCGAAGCACATGATTTACGTGATTCACATGAATCGCAGTTATGGCTATTACTATACAAATCAATAACTCGATAATGATAAAAATATGTTTTTTTCTGTCATATTAGGTGGCAGTCTTGAGCTCAACTGAGCGTAGCTCGTCACATAGAGGGCGTCCACCCCTCTGGTGCAGATCCACTGTGGGAATATCTGCACCGTTTCTCGATCGTTTTTCGTACTCATCTCATCGCATGATCTCCTCTTTTACGAGAGCAAAGCGCTGACGACTCTATTCAGCGGATTTGGGCATGACAAGTCCCAAGCGATCTTGCCCTATCGTGACCTCGAAAATCCGCCCACCTTGTTCTTTTTTGGAGACGGTGTATCAGGTGAGAAGAACCTCTTTATCATAATCACGTCATTGGTCTCGCCCGTGGAGCTAGACCAGGGGTGAGCTCATTGGATGACTTGGTAACTGACAATGATTCCTTTCCTCGCTTACTATTGCACTCGATACACATGTCACGTTTTTTTCGCAATACTATTACATGGTCTATTTACTCTCGGCTATACACAAAAATTTTATCGCCCAAAATTTTTTATCTCCACACGTTGCCGATCCGGTAAATGGGCTCGTGGGCTCGTGTGCCTCATACGCCTCACGCGTCCGCAATCGGTGCTCCCACTTGCTCCACCCCGAACCCTGTCGAAATTCCCAACGGACCACACTACTTGTGAACACCTTTTGCGACCCAAACCCCACGTATCTCTATCCACGGATGGAAAACGGAAACCACGGACACAAACGAT